ATGGAATATCTTTCCATTTTCTGAAATCCTCTACGATCTCTTTTTTCAGAGTACTGTAATTTTCCTTGAAAAGATCTTTGACTTCTTTTTTTTTTTTGCGGAACCGGGGATTGAACTCAGGCCCTTGTGCTTGCCAGGGAAGCGCATATTCCACTGAGCCATCTCCCGGCCCTACTTTGACTTCTTTAGTTAGATGAATTCCAAAGTATTTCATTTTCCTTGGTGCCATTGTAAAAGGTATTGTTTCTATAATTTCCCTCTCAGTGTGTTTGTTGTCTGTGTAGAGGAATGCTATTGACTTTTGAGTATTGACTTTATAACCTGCTATGCTACTGAATTTCTGTATTAATTCTAATAGCTTCTTGGTGGAGTTTTTTGGTCTTCCAACTAAAGTATCCTGTCATCCACGCTGCACCTGGACTGGAACTAGTTTCTGTCTGTTTTAGGGGAATAGTTGTCTTAGTTACTTTTTTTGTTGCTGAGACAAAATCCCTGACACCCATAGTTAACAAGGAAGGGTTAGCTCACAGTGTGTAGAGGGGCAGCATTACAGGCCCTGGATCAGTGGAGGCAGAGCTCTTACACGTGCCGAAGGCGGCTCTTTGTTGTCACTGAAAGCTAGCAAAGGCCCTAGGCCAGATACCTCTGAAAAGCCCCACCTGTCAATCAGCAAAGGAGGCTTTTGGGTCAAAAGCCATGACACTAGTATTTATGCTCTGTTAAAATTTGCTCAAACTTTGAAGAGAAGAACACACTTCTAAAAGAAATTATGCTAAAAGTTACCTCTGACAAAGGTGTAGAGATTTATTCCTGCAGTTATGTTGGTATTTGTATGTGTTTTTCTGTTTTGGCAAGCAGCTTTTCAGAGATAAAAAGGCTGTCTGTCTTAGCTGTAGCGTGGACGGCCCATCCTTGGGTAGTGCCTCTGTATTCCGTAGAGGCCAGCTGAAGAGCCCTCTCCCTGGTGCGCCTTGTGTGTAGTACCAGTGAGGGACTGCACGAGTGAGAAACCTTCAGGCCAAGTATAGGTTGTGGGCATTAGTGACATGAACAGGCAACATGGATAATGAAGAATAGTAGGAGCTCATGTTACACGCATTGGTTTGTTCCAGGCTTATTTATTTATTTATTTATTTATTTATTTTTGGCGGTACCGGGGATTGAACTCAGGCCCTTGCGCTTGCCAGGCAAGCGCTTATTCTACTGAGCCATTTCCCTGGCTCCTTCCAGTCTCATTTTATTTTTTAATTTTTTTTGTGGACCTGGGGATTGAACTGAGGCCCTTGCGCTTGCCAGGGAAGCGCTTATTCCACTGAGCCATCTCCCCGGAGCTTTCAGTCTCATTTTAAATGAGTCATGGAAAGTGAGTTTTTCTTTTAAGAGTGTCATACTAATGTAGTCTTTTAGTAGCTTTAGCTTGTAACACTTTCAAGAAGCACTTGAAAGAAAAATGTCTACTGTAACATTGGCCAGTTTTCCTTTAGAATTGGTGGTGTCGCAGAGGGTGCTGCTAGTCACTGCTAGCCATCGGGCTCAGTGCCCTGGATGCGAGGTTTGGGAGCGGGCTCTGGGCACCTGGGGTAGTGCAACGTAGATGTACCAAGAGACCTGGAGGACCAGGGTCATGATGGAGGGCCTGGGGAACTTCATTTTTTCTCTGCTGTATAGGAGTTTTATGCTGTCAGATGCAGATGTTTCTGCTTTAACAGCATTCATTATGCCAGCGTTTAGCACCTTTGCATGAATCACAAATTGATATTACAGCGAGTCATCGTAATAATTTCGGATTCCCGTAGGCCTTTGATGGTAATAATTGGTTTATAAAATATGACTTATATAGCACTTTGTGCAGTACAAAATTGGGGCTCTTTCTACATAATTCTGATGAATCTTTAGAGTATACCTGGGACATTTCCTTTTGTAGTTTCTGTGGATGTTGTCTTTTATTGTACTTTTCGTGTCTGCAGTTGTTTCTTCGCTCTTTACAGGCATCACGACCGGAAGATGTGTATAATAGGACTGAGTATCCTTCTGGAACTGCAGAACCGGCCTCCTGCGGTAGAAGCTGTGGTGGGGCAGATCGTGCCCTCGATCCTTTTCCTTTTCCTTGGCCTAAAGCAGGTCTGTGCGACTAGGCAACTCATACACCGGGACAGCTGTTCAAAAGCAGAGAAAGCGGATATGGAAGAAAATGGTAAATAAGGCTTGCTAATTATAATGCGTGTTGGAATTGATTTTGAGTTGAGCTTGCATTCTGTTTGAATTGCAGTTTGTGGGAGTCATTAAGGAAATTTACATTCATGGGTCTGCTGCACGTGTAACAGATATTGTGGGGTTTGTTACTTGTAATTGGTCATCTCAAGGGGATAAATTCAGCTTTTTGTATCGTGTGACACTTAAAACTGCCCATGGTTTTTAAGTGGAGCCTAATGGATAGTTGTTAGAGGTTGGGAAATATGTTTGTAACAGAAGCAAATGGTCTTGACTGTAGATTAGGAAGCTGTTGTTTCCTTTTTTTGTGTATTTTTTTGTTGTTTATTTGTTTTGTTTTTTGAGTCAGGCTCTCACTGTATAGGCTCAAGCTGTCCTTGAACTCACTGTGTAGCCCTGACCTGGAATTTATGGTAATCCTCCTGCCTCAGCGTCCTGAGTGCTGGGGTTACAGGCATGCACTACCCTGCCCAGCCTGTTTCATTTTCTTATTGGTGCTAGTAGATTTAAGGCAACAGCCTTGATATAAATGAACTAATACTAATACTAATAAACTAATACTAATACTAATAAAGAAGCTCATGGCAACGCATCGGTAGAGACTGTATGATTAAAAGCAAAACAAAAGGTACATATGTGGTTGATCTTCATATACTGCAAGGACTTTAAATGTGAATTCAGAGGGCAGCATATTGAGATGATTTGCTCACTTGAGAGATTGTTGATGCCAAGCCTGTCGGACCATTCTGGAAGGATGAGCTTAGGCAGCGTTGTGCGGGGGCTGGGGAGCGGCACACTCCGCCTCTTGGTAGTTTTTTTCTCTTCTGTTTAACAATTCTTTCCTTCTTTCTTTCTTTCTTTCTTTCTTTCTTTCTTTCTTTCTTCTTTCTTTCTTTCTTTCTTTCTTTCTTTCTTTCTTTCTTTCTTTCTTTTTGTTTTTGCCAAGAACACAATTCATCTAGAGAAACATAGAGCTCTGTTATTTCTTATGCTAATTTTTGTGATTTTAGCAAGTATAGATTGAAAATACTTGTCACTTAATTGGTTCATGAACTCGGGTTCATGTACCAGAGTGTTAAACTACCTTTCTCCCACTCCAAATATAAAACACCTTCTGATTTTTCTGAATTCAAAGTAGGTCTTTTGAAGTAATACTTCTTTCTAGATGTTTGTTTTATGTGTCAGGAACTAAGCGTATGCCAATAATTGTAGAGTTCTTTTTTTTTTTTTTTTGCTTTTCTTATTTCTTGCTTTCCTAACTACTTGTTAGCTTCTAACTAATGACTTGAAGGTGGAATTTCTAGTAATGACCCCCAGTCTGGGTTGCTGAATTTCCTACTAAAGTGTGGAATGACTACCTAGCAAATACTGTTTCTTTTTTTCTTTCTTTTGGCTGAACTGGGGATTGAACTCAGGCCCTTGTGCTTGCGAGGGAAGCACTTATTCTACTGAGCCATCTCCCCAACCCCTACAAATATTATTTCTTACTGCTTTTGTAATCATACCTTTGATGTGGCACCCCCCCCCCACTTTTGGTCCAAAATGGTGGTTTCTTGCCTTATCCCTAAAACTAACTGTGTTTCATCCAGTGGCTTCAGTGCAGCATGTCTGTGGAACCGCGATTAGATTGATGTTGCCTGGTTTGGATTTCCTCCAGGGCTTCCTTCTTAGGTTGATGTTCTGCATTTACTGCCTTCTGATCACGGACTTTGAGCTACAGTGTGTCTCTGACTGAACAGATTAGTCCTGAAAATAGGGGATATGGAATTTGGTTTTTCATTTTTCTGAGTCATGTGTAGCTGCTTCTTTATTTTTCTTTATATTTTTATATCTTTGTTATTTTTGTGACAGAAATGACCTCCTCATCTGAGTATTTCTGAATAGTTCATATTCTGCTTAATCAGGAGACTTTAAGATGTGTGCACAGACTGCAAAATCATTTTGTCTTTTTTTTAAATTTATTTTTTTAAAATTTAATTTTATCTTTTTTTTTTTTTTAAATTTTATTTTTTTAATAAAAAGAAATTATGGGGCTGGCCAAATAGCTCAGTGGATTAAAGTGCCTGCAAGCATGTATAGGGGCCAGGGATTTGATCCCTGAGCCTGCCATGCTGGCCCTGCCCCTGGGGCGTGCTGAGACAGCAATTGAGACTGGGCACGGTGGTGTGTGCCTGTAATCCCAGTGCTTGGGAGGCTATAAACAGGCAGATGATTACAAGTCCAACCTAGTAGTGAGGCCCTGTACACCCTGTAGACCCTTCCTTAAAATACAGAAAAAAAAATTATAGGAAATCTGCATTTGAGTAGTAGTCTTACGTTAAGAGCGCAGCCATAGCCTAACGGTAATGATGCTCAGCAGGACTACAGGTTTTGGGAAGTTGTTTTTAAAGAGGGTGAAGGCATTTTCAATTTGGCAAACTACAATAAAGTTTATTTCTGTAATTCCAGGTAAGATGATATGGTAAAATATCCATTGCTAGCATGACTTGTAATCTTTGCTTTTCTTTATGGAATCTTATGCCCTTATATGTTTAACTCCTTTTAAATGATGAATGGCTTCACAGAGGAGATTTCCAGTGATGAGGAGGAGACCAATGTGAGCGCTCAAGCCATGCAGTCAAATAACAGGAGAGGCGAGGAGGAGGAGGACGAGGACGAGGACTGGGATGAGGAGGTGCTGGAGGAGACAGCCCTGGAGGGCTTCAGCACGCCGCTCGACCTTGACGACAGCGTGGATGAATATCAGTTTTTTACACAGGCTCTGCTGAGTACGTCTTTGTGCATCTTGAGATAGTTTTTCTGAACTTTCTTCATGGTAGAAGTTGTTTTGGATCTGCCCCCAAATTGGTCCAGACTCTTTTAAAAATACATTTTTAGGGGCTGGCGAAATGGCTCAGTGGTCTAAAGCACCTACTTAGAGCAAGCTTAGCAAAGCACAGGGACCTTGGTTCAATCCCCCATCACCACATGCCAGCCAGCCCCGCCCCCTGGTGGGCTGAGCTGGCCACACACACACACAGAGAAAAAAAATAAATAAATAAAAATACATTTTTATTACAGAAATATCTAAACATATGCAAAACAAGAGATTAGCGTACCGAAGCCCTCATCAGCCAGCCCTAGCAGCTTGCATTGTTGTGAAGTATGTGGCGGGGTGAGCTTGTAGCTTATCCTCACAGGAGAATTGCAGGAGTCTCTGCGGGTAGCGTCCTCCTCTTGGCGTAAGTGGGGCAGGCATTGTCCCAGAGAAGGGACTTCTGCAGGCACAGTGTACTTAAGAGTGGTGCTCACACACTGAGTAGTCATTTGCAGTCCCCATGGAAAGGAACAGATCCACTTGCCTTCCAGGAGTGGCTCTTTACTATGTAAGCAGTTTGCCAATTTTGTAGAGCAGAAGCCACTGTAACTATAGAGCACTCATTAGAAATTGGGAGAAAATATTTTCACATGTATCACAGGCTTAGAATGTGCAGTATCGGCTGGATGTGATGAGCACACATGGAGTCCCAGCACTTGGGAGGCTGAGGCCAAAGGATCACTGTGAGTCCGAGACCAGCCTGGGCTCCAAAGTGAGTTCAAGGGCAGCCTGAACTACATAGCGAGACCCTGGCTCAGAAATCAAAAAGCAGGGCTGGGAAGGTAGCTCAGTAGAATAAGTGCCTGTCTGGCAAGCGCAGGGTCCTGAGTTCAATCCCCAGTACTGCAAAAAATAAATAAATAAATAAAAAATAAAAAAGCAATATGCAAAGGCCCTCTAGAGATGAATAAGCTAGGTAAACTAATGTACAAATGGAAGATGTAAATAGGAACTTTACAGAATAATAATGAACCAATGAAAATATTTAGAAAATTATTAGTCAAATAAATAATGAAAGCATCCACTTAATGTTTATGTCTTTTGAACAAGGTGAGCAGTTTTGCATACATTTTTATTAACAAGGCAATGCTGTGTAATACACTGACATTATTCATTGTTGCCACAAATAACAGTAATGGGGATACAATACCCCTGTGCTTTCATTGAAAGTTAGCAGGACCTAGAGGCAGAGAGTGCAGGGAGTGATGGTCACAGCACGAGGACAGTGGAAGAAGTAAGTGTAAGTACCAAGGGGGACATGCAGGGCTGCTGCACAACACGCGTTGTGCAGGGGTACGTGGAGTGCACTTGGTACCCATGAGGGAAGGCAGAGCTCATGGTAGCAGTCTTTGCCATGCCAGGGAGTGTGACTGAGTGTGTCCTGTGGGGAGCTGACCTGGACGTGGTCGTTTGCCCTGGAGGAGTTATCAGGCGATGCCTTGCAGGTGAGTGGAGGAGTCTGAATGTGGGGACCCAGCATTATGCGGTTGTTAATTTACGAGTGATAGGGTTGCAGTACATATGCTAAAAAAGTGGTAGGGCCAGGGCTGGAGGGTGGGATTTTATGTCAAAGAGTCAAAGGCTTGAAGGTGGTGGTTTTTCTTCTCAAGTACCTGCGATTGAACCCAGGGCCTTGGGCCTTTGCACTAAGCTACATCTCCAGCCCTTTTTCACTTCTGATTTTGAGACGGGGTCTTGTTAAGTTGCTTCAGGCTGGGCTCAAGCTCAGATCTTCCTGTCTCTGCCTCCCAGATTGCTGGGATTACACATACACTTGCTAAAGGGCTAAGGGTCTGCAGTGGTCATCTGGGAGACTAATGGAAATGGTGATGGAAATGGGGACAAAAGGAGGGGTTGGAATGGAAAAGTGAAATGTGTTTTCAGTTGTGTTGCATTTGAGGGGAGCTGCTGATGTGAAAAGGCCCAGGAGGTTAAGGGAAGCTGCAGCCTGAAAGCACAGAGTGAGTCCTGGTGTAGGAACAGTGCTGGCCTGCAGGAGGGTGTAAGCTCCATGGGAAGATGGTGACATGGGCTATGGGTGATGCCTAAGACCAGGAGTCAGGGAACACCCCTAAGTAGCGAGCTCCATAGAAGTTGAGGAGGTGGAAGATTGCACGGAGTGCCGCTCAGCAGGGCCTGCTGACCTCCGATGTCCACGCAGTCAGGTTGTCATTGGGCACACAGAAGTACCTCTTCGTCCATCATTGCTTGTAGTCCTTGATTGGGCCATGTGCTTCTCTGAGGTGACAGTCGTGTTTGTGTGTCTTCTCCCTCCTGTCCTCCTGAACCCCCCCTGAAACCCCACAGATGTGCAGAGTCGAGATGTTGCCTGGTACCAGCAGCTGACAGCCCCCTTGAGTGACGACCAGAAGAGGATGCTGCAGGAGGTGTACACGTTGGCAGAGCACCGCAGGACAGTGGCAGGTCAGTGGCGCGTGTGTGGCGTAGTGCTGGGGGTCAGCCTTCTCTGATGTGCCAGGTAGCACTAAAATGGTATTTTTAAGTCCTTAGAGGTGGGGCATGATGGCACATGCCTGTAATCGCAGCACTCAGGAGGCTGAAGCAGGAGAATCTTTGCAAGTTCAAGACCAGCATAGGTTACATAGTGGGACCCTAGTTCAAAAACAACAGAAGTTTTAGAGTCCAGCCTTTCATGATGATGAAAAGCTGTCATTGTTAGATAGTTGTTTTTAACTATCACTAAACCATCATCATCATTCCCTTGTTTTTTTTGGTACTGGGGGTTGAACTTAGGACCTTGTGCTTATGCTTGCCAGGCAGGTGCTTATGAGCTGAGCTGTGTCCTTGGCTCCATCATCATTCTTTAGCTCTACAAAAACCTGTGCTTCTTTAATTCTTATAAGGAGCTTATACTCCTACCAGTGAAATGGTGTGCCAGTCAGCTTTCTGTTGGCAAAATCCCTGAGAAAATCAGCTTCTAAGACAGGGGAGCAGGGCATGTTGGCTCAGTGTTTGAGGCCACATCCCCAGGCCCTGTTGCCTGGTACCAGCAGCTGATGTGATGAGGTAGTGTGTGTGGCACAGGAACCCTGCTTCTCTCAAAGCTGCTGGGGAGCAGAGAGGAAGGGAAGAGGGGCCGGCACCCAGTGTCCCCTTCAAGGTACAGCCTCAAGGCTGACTTCCTCCTCACACCCACTTCCTGAGCCCTCTGCCACCTCCAGTCCCAGGCTGGTGACCAGGCTGAGTCCTGGGACCTTCAGGGACATTTAGGAGCTAAATCAGAACATGCTCTCTGTTTCTCTTTGTTAGGCTTAATGTGTTCATAACTACTATTGATTTTCAGCTTTAAGTTGGATGAATTATTTTATGTTGAGATTATTCCTAGTCACTCCTGGATTATAGTGGAAAAGATTTTGCAAAAAAAAATGTTAGTAGGGAAGGTGAACTGTAGATTTCTAGAGTTTAGACCCCTGGTTCTTACGCGGAGAATCAGCCCTTTGGATTGTCTGTGAGATGTTGGGGTGCCCTTTCATGCATAGAGACGGAAGCTACTGACGGGCAACCTTGTACTTTGTTTTTATTTCATTCATTTTAAGCAGTTTTCCTGTGGCAGTAAACATTGCCACCTGTTGACATGGGTCTGTTATAGGCCGACATTCACTTTGGTGGAGAAGCTAATCCTAGGAGTCACCTTTCTTCACAGGTCTAAGTGTGACAGTGACAGTAAACCTTTCAGAGCTTTGGATGATCAAAAGTGGGGCCATGTCGTGCTTGCCGTGTGGCCACCACTGCTATAGAAAGGACCTCAGATGGTTTCTAATCTTGTCATCCTAAATATTTTTTTAATGTGTGTGTTTTTATGAACACTAGAGGCGAAGAAGAAGATTGAACAGCAGGGTGGCTACACATTTGAAAACAAAGGCGTTCTCTCTGCGTTTAACTTTGGGACCGTGCCCAGCAACAACTGAAGCGAGGGACATCTGCTGACCCCGTGTCACCGACATGTGTGGTCTCACAGGGTGTGAGCTGGGGGAGCTGAGGCCTCCTGCCCACCTCACCTCCAGCACCTGGCACACTCTTGCCCACTCCTGTCCTGAGGCCCTTCCTGCCCCGCGATCCCTTCTCCAGCAGCTCCTGTAGAGCCTGAGCATTGCAAAGGACGCCGTCTGTTCCACAGGTGGAAGCCGCGGGGGTTCAGAGGATCGAATCAACTTGCACGTCTCAGGTTTTTGCCATGCAGAATCAATAGATTTATGCGGTAACAGTGCCTTCTGTTGTACATGAATTATCAGAAACATTTTTTGGAGTGCATTGCGATTTTTTTAAAGCATAAAACATATTTCTAGATATGATGTAAACCTTGGTTACATGTTGACTTACTCAGCATTTTACTCTGTGAATTTGCTGTTAGGCAGTTAGCCGCAGGGCACTCTGGATTCCAAACCACCACTGCCCCCTTCACCTGCCTGCCCGCTGCCCTGCCACAGGGGCTATCTTCAGGGGTTGTAAAATATGCACTGGCTCTGGTTTTTCATAAGACATTCTGTGGCTTTTTAAAGAAGTGTCTTACTCTCTCTCCCACCGTATTTTTCTACCGTGAAAGGGGTGGTATGTCTTTCAGAATCAAGTATGCGTATCAGTTTCCTTTCTCACCTGGAAGGTGTAAGTCCAGGAGTCTCAGGGGCCTGGCAGCGTGAGGCAGGGCCTCGCCGCTCCCTGTGTTAACAGCAAGGCTGAGCGGACTGGGAATCCTGCTTACGCCAGGAATTGATCGTCAGGCCAAAAGCGCCCACCATGCTGCTGGCGGAAGGCGCTGCATGTGCGTCGGGTTCTAAACAGGGCGCCCAGTTTCGGTAACTCATTCCAGCCATGCTGGGCCAGGGTCCAAAGCATTTTATAGTGGCATTCTTTTTTTCTTTAACAAAAGAGCCAAACAAATCTAATTTTTTGCTTTCTCACACATCTGAATTTTTTTCTTAATTTGTTTTTGTTGTTATTACAGCTCAGTTTGGCTTCTTAAATTTTCTAAGCATTGAGTGTGTTGGTCATCTTCATGCTTGATATAAGATGACCTACCTACAGAAAATCTGCAGATGGAAGGTTTTCCTGAATTATTAGTCTAGAACATGGATCGCTGTGTTTTCATTGAGTGCAGTGATATATGGCTTGAGAACTTAGCATATTACAGAGTGTGATACATTTTCCTTTTTCTTGTGGAATGTCTGCAGGTCAAATTTTCCGTCTGTGACTGGGAGAAGTTTTCCCAGGTGCTCCCTCCATTGCCATCCCCTATTCACATTAACTGTTTAAAATTTTAGGTTATTTAAATGATTTTTATAGAAGTAGCCTGAAAAGCCATGAGTTTAGAGGCTAAATGAGCTTCTGCTTTGCCCCTCTGCTGAGGAGGGTGCTGGAGCCGAGAGCTGAGCCCTCCCCCTGCACTAGAAGGCAGCATCGGGCAGGGGTTGGAGGGTTCTGGAACTCTCCGTGCCGGACATGGTTTAATTTTAACATGTGTACAATGCCTTCACACTGGATGGTACAAGACATGTGATTTTAGAGATCTATTTTGCGACACACTGTCTTCTGCAGTGTAAAGGGAAGTGCTGATGTGCATCATCGTGTTGTTAGGCCAGAGGAGCTGTGTGAGTTGCTGCCAGCAGTGCTAACCTGAATGTGACCTGGTGACCTTGGAAACGCAGGAGCTTACATGAATGTACTGTAAAATAAAGTGCGAACTGATCGCCAGGCTTCCCAGCTCTTCTCTGTTCGGCGTTCTCTGGGAGGTGCAGGTGGCTTGGGCGGTGCTGGCCTCTGCGGGTGGGGTCCAGGCGGCTTTCCCTGTGAGGCCACGGGGCTTTGTCTGAGCTGACCAGGGCTTGCAGAGCCTGCGCTATGGGAGTGTTCGGACTCCTGGGACCCGCCCTGAGGGACCCGCCACTGACCAGGGACCCAGAGGTGACAGAGACTCCGGCAATCACAGGCCGCCCAGCTGCAGTCACGCATCGCCAGAGGGGCAGGTGACTGGCATGGAGCTGATGCCTAATGACTGTGTAAGAGCAGTGCCTGAGAGTGCTGGTGGGAAAGCTCCAGCCTCTGGATTCCTGATCCTTCTCTGTGTGACAAGACCTTCTCCCCATCTGAAGTACGTTCAGGTCCACCGGAGCTGGTGCATTTTAAAATCAGTGGCAGTTTCTAAGGCAGAAAACTGTTATTTTGCTGGACATGCTGGCACACACCTGTAATCCCAGCGCTCGGAGGCTGAGGCAGGAGGATGGCTGTGAGTGAGTCTGGACTGAATTACAGTGAGACCGTCTCAGAAAAAGAAAAAGTTTCTTTAAATCACCCTTTAAGTAATAGAATCAACTGTGATACTGATTTCTGTATAGGAGACTGAAAACTATGATCCATGGAGGAAATCAGAGGGAACTTAGCTGTGCATTAAGGACCCCTTCCATGTACATGTGCGTGCACACGTGCACACATGTTTCATTGGTGCAAACATCCAGAAGAGTCTTCCATGCTGACCTGCCCTCTGCTTCTTCCCTCTCCACTGGGAGGAGTGTGTGCTGCAGACTGGCCGTCCGGGCAGATTTTGAGTGGTCCATGGAGAGTGAAGCTGCAGAACCAGTGTGGGGATGGTCTGTGCTTTGTGGCTGGGCTGTGCGGACATAGCTGGCTCTGCAGGCAGCATGGTGTTGCTGGTGGCAGGGGAGGCTGGCCACGTGCTGGGAGAGGAGGGAAAGGGGGTGCAGGCTCTGCCATAGGGAGAGGGGAGTGGCTGCACCTGTGTGCTGTGGGGCACACCTCACTTAAGAAAGGCATTTCCCAACTGGAGAGCCTCCAGATTTCTTACCGGGGCTAGAGGCAACCCAGGCAGGAGGACTGGGTGGACACTTTCCCTGAGAGCTCCCATAGGCATGACAGGAGCACCTGAAAGATGGGAGCTTCACAGCAGGGTCTCGGGGCACCTTTCAGCCGTGGCCCTTGTCCCAGCACACACTTTCTGCTGCCCAAGGAGTGAGGACAGTAAGTGCCTGCTCATTGCCTTGCAGCCAGAGTCCTGGACCTTCCTGCAGCTGCACTCGCTTGCTGGTTTCCATGCTGTATGATTCCTCTGGTCTCACTGGGGCATCTTCCGGAGCACACCAGGGAACTAGAGTTCCTTCTTTGCACTGCTGTTTTGTGTTGCCTCAGATTGCTCCTATCATCATTAGAGACCTAACCGTGTTGCAAGCTTGCAATGTTGTCCTTGTAATGCCTTGCATTGGGTGGCCAAGCATGCTTAATAGAATGAACAAATGAATACTTGAGAGAGTGAGGCTTTGCCAAAGTGCTGGGAGCCTAGAAACATGTGGGCCACAAACAAGACCTAGAGACAGCAGGCTGTGGGGGAACTGTCCTGGCAAGGCAGGGGTGCAGCACTGTGCCCTGCTTCCTGTTTCTGTATCCAGTCTCCATGTACTGGGACATTCAGGGTAGCTTTGTTTTCTCTCCTCCTCAGCCTTGTTTTCCTTCTGTGACATAGTAGCCCCCCCCCCCCATTTCTTTTAGTGTTAAAACTGGTGTAATAGCTTGGTAGAGGTAGTTTTCCAGATTTTGGGAGGGATGAAGAAGGAGATACTCAGAACCCTTCACCAGAATCCCCCCAGCTTGATCATAGTGGATTAAAGATGTGCTTAATCGTGGATGCAATTAGTGACACCAGCCTGATGGATCTCTCTTACTGCACCAAATCCCACTGAGTTACCTGATCCCTTCGGCTGGCAAAGAACCATTAGGTGAGGAGCACTGGCATCATCCAGGGTGATGTTTTTCAAGCAATTGACCAACCGGTCAGGTCGAGGGGCTGCGACAACCTTAGGGCCCTTGCAGACTCACCAAACATTACAGGCACTGCACCTGCCAGTGCACTGGTGAAGGATCACTGAGAACTCCTGCTGGTTAAGGATCAATGAGAACTCCTGCTGATTAAGGATCACTGAGAACTCCCACTGGTTAAGGATCAATGAGAACTCCACCTTGTCTCCTGCCTGTACCTTCATGCGATCCTGAACCTCTTTCACATGGAAAAAGAGCTTCTTGCTGTCTCCTATGTCATGGTTGGTGAAGCCCAACTGATCTTTCACACACTCTACTGTGGTCCTAAGCAGGGATGTAGTGTTGTAGCCTGTGCATTTTGGCCCAAGACACAACTGGAACTTTACACTCTCCCCTTTCTGTAGGCAGTCCCCTCTGTTGGCCACCTCAGCTATGCCAAATGGATACACCTTACCTCTCATATCTTTCTCTTCCACAATTTCAGTCATTCCTTGATACTCAGTATGCATTGGATCAACACTCTTCAGAGGGCAAATGACTTTACCAGAGTAGATGGTGGGATTAGCTTCCTCAGTAATACCATTCACTGAGTGAGTTTTGTTTACTTTTTTAGCACTGACTTTGTTGCCTTTTCCTTTGGACAAGCTGTTTTCAACCATGTCCCCCATTTCCAGGCTATGAATATCACCAGAGAATTCACTGTAATGGAAAAAGATTTCCTTAGCATGATTGGCTGTTTCAATAAGTATAAAATTAACTTTCAGAGTTGCCACATAACCCAAGAACCTCTTGGAATTAGAATTATGACCTAAAAGTCCCACACAAGTTGCAATCTGCTGCCCAGGCCTCTCTTTGTCACTAATAGTAAATTCAACCTTATCTCCTATCTGAGGAGAAGTAGATTCCTTCCACATCCTTGGCTTGAAAAGCAGTAGTCAGTTTCACTCCACAACATCATAAACAATAGTGCCATCCTCAGCCTCCTTCTCCTTGGCTTTATTGGGGCTAGTGGTTTTTGGATTGGAAAAAGTAGCTTTTGCTACAGTTCCCAGAAAATGATTTTCTGAATGAGAATGGAATGAAACTGCCCTTGGGAAGTTTTTTAATCTTAATAGCATGATTTCTTTGGGCAGAGAGCATATCAGGAACCACAGTAAATTCTACTGCATCTGCAGTATGGAGCTGGTTCCCATCCAGAATTTCGCTGAAGTGGAAGAACATGAGCATTCCAATCCACACACTCAATGAAACCAAACCCATCTCTCATGGCATTGATGACACCCATTTCTCTAGCTTCATTAGTAAGCCGAAATATATTTGATAGAACTTCTGTAGTGGTTGCTCATTCTAATTTGTCACATCTTTCTGTTGAAATATTAAACCAAACATGGTCACCTTCAAGCAGGGTCACCTTGGATTTTGTGTCCATCTCCAAAAGGAAGTTCTTTAGGAATCACAAAATCAAGTTTGATTTGTCCTATCAGTGGATCATTCTGGTTTTTACTGGGTACTTTTGGGATAATTTTGGTTACAGTTCCTTGAAAGTGGTCAATGCTGATATCTTCAAAAATGACAATTCCTTGAAGCAATTATCTAACATCCGTTGCAGCTTCTTTCCTTGATTGTGAACTCCACATCATCTCCAGGCTGCAAGGTTTCCAGGTTACCTTTAAACTCACTGTAGTGGAAAAATATCTCTTTTACCACCTTACCTCTTTCAATAAAGCCAGATGCCTCCTTCATGGCACACACTACTCCCTGACAGCGGGTGTATTTCTTTTTCAACAGCATAATGTTAAGAGCACTTACAGCACCAGTATGTTTATTGTTATCAGTTACAAAGTTTATTTTATCTCATTTCCAGCTGAACATTCCCTTCAATGCCTGCAGGGGAATAAGTCAGGTAAACACTTCTTGTCCATTTTTTTGTTCTTCAGAGTAGATTTCTTGTTTTATCTTCACTAGTTTGATAACCGTTGGTTTGCCAGTCTGCTGGTCAGATGATACTTCGAATTCAACATCATCTCCTACTTTTTAAGTCCTGCAGGTTGCCATTACATTGTGAACAATGGAAGAAAAGTCTAACTTGACTTCTGAACACTGAATAAATCTATAAGAGGTTAACAGTTTTTCAATAACCCCCATTTCATGAAGTGCTGCTAAAGTACCATTGGGGTACCCATTATGTCCATTGTTGTGGAGAAGGTTTGAATCAAAGCTCATCTTGCAGTGATAATCAAGTATTGCACTTTCAGTAGTATCAGCTAAATTCAGTTAAGCAGGATACAATACCGATATTCAAAACTTAGCATTTCATCAAAATGAATTAACTGAAAGAAAGCAAGAAATTGACTTCATTAACAATAGCTGCAAGCATACCCCAAATCTTAGAATCAGTGGAAGCAAGGAGATAAAACTATAAAATACTGAATAGGACAGACATGCAGAAAAATGAAAGGGCATTCCATCTTCATGAATTGGAAGGATGAATGTTGTTAAAATGTCCATACTACCCAAAACAGTAGTGCAGTTCTTATCAAAAGGCCATTGGCATTCTTTGCAAAAACCGAACAATCCTAAAATTTGTATGGAACCACTGAAGATTTCAAAGCAGACCTGAACAAAGTCAAGAACACTGACGCTATTACAAACCTGTCTTAAATCACCCTGCAAAGTTAAAGTAATCAAAATAGCATGGTAGTGGTGTCAAAACAGGCATAACCAGTGGAACAGAATAGAAAACTAGAAATCCATGTATTTCTAGCCAACTGCTTTTTAAAAAAGAAATTATGTATTTGGTACAGGGTCTGCGAGGTCTCACTACCTAGATTAAGACTCATAGTGATCCTCCTGTTTTCAGCCTCCAAGTGTTGGGATTATAGGCGTGCACCACCACGCCCCATCTCAATTACTGTCTCAGCAT